GCGACCTCATCAGCTTCAGAACCTGCGCCACCCGCCTCTGGCGACCCTTCGTCGAGCCCGTCGTGGCCGGCCAGTTCGGCACACGTGATTTCTCGCGCCTGATGGTAAACAGACGGCACTTGTTCCAGGTCGAAGATTGGGTCCTACATCGTATCATCAACACTGCGGGTCCCGACGACGACATGACGACGGCGGCGGCGAAGAAAAAAGCCCCAAACGTCCATGTACATGCGCTACCGTACTATACCACCCACATCCTCATCGCCGCCTACCTCGCCTCGTACAACCCCTCACGCACCGATGTAACCTATTTCATGAAACACACGGATAAGCGCAAAAATAAACGGCGCGCTCCCTCCGCTGCTAGCTTCTCTGTAACGGGGAAACGCACGGGGGCCAAACATCGCAAGATTAGTCGACATCTCTTGACGCCTTCTCCGTTTACGTTGGATAGGTTACTGGCGATTTTCAGGGCCCTGTTGGAGGGCACGGTGCCGCAGGTGGCGGATCTGTACACGCAGATTGCGACGCTGAGTAGTATGCGTTTGCTGGTTCGGGCAGGCATCGGCAGTAATGATGTGCTCGAAGCGGGGACGAGGTGGAGAGTAGGGTTTGGATGGGAGTTTGCACGTGCACTGGGTCGGAGTGTGAATCTGGAGGTGGGAGAATATTTGGTTGGTGGGGTAGATTAGGGGGGTTATCTATCTACGAACTACAACTACACTGCATCATGCCCTTGTACTTGGGTACATCGCCACAGAAGCGTTCTTCCTCGTCTTGGTTCCAAGCCCAGTTTTCTTGGAAGGGGTTGAGGGTAAGTTTCATGATTTGAGGGAGGATATCGCGCTCGTGTTTCTTTTCCACGCGGTCGATGAGTTCGTCTAGGATCCATGAACGGGGTACAAACTATTCACCATCAGCACAAATGCATCCCAAGAGATGAGGAGAAAAAATCTTACCTTTGGATTCACAGCGTGCATAGCCTGCTGACGCTCTTCATCCTGTCCCTCACCCCAGTCTTGACGAACACGAGAAGACCAGTTCTCGAGCCACTTCGCAATGCGCGCACGACTCTCATCTTCCTGTCTAGGAACACTGTCCGCCCTAAAGAACCTGCCCGCGCTATCTTTCCTCGCATTCTCCGTCTCCACATCCTTGAGCGTAACAGCGGACAAGCGCCTAAATGCGTGATGGAAGTCCAACTCGTACTTTTCCAGAATATCCAACAATTCGGAAAACAAGGTCTCGAAATCGCTGTCCTGGTGTGTCTTGAGGCCTAGGCGAGCCGTCATTAGGCGCTTATATTCCGCCAAGAAGACGGCTTTGTATTCTTCACCGGCGCGCTCTATCACGCTTTCTGCGCGTTGCACTACTTCGCTCTCTTGATCCTCGGTGACACCCTTGTCAACAAAGGTTTGTTCGTCAACTTTGCTACCCGCGCCCATCAACTCACCCAGCGCCTCGCCGAGACGCACGAGGTTCCACCAGATGATGGTGGGTTGGTTGCGGTAGCTGTAGCGCAGCATGTGGTCGTCGTGGTTGGGCGTGTAACTCGGATCAAAAGTGTCGAGGAAAGCGAAGGGGCCAAAATCGATGCTCAGACCCAGGATGGACGTGTTGTCTGTGTTCAGCACGCCGTTCATGAAGCCATAGGCTTGCCACTTCGCAACAGTTTCCGCGTTGCGGCGGAGGATGGCGCGATAGAGGCGTACGTAGCGGTTTTCTTCGCCTACGCCTTCGCCTTCGGTTGTGTCTTTCGCGACGCCTTCGGAGGTTTGGTGGTGAACTTCTTTCGCGTCGCCAGCGGGGAGTTTGGAGGGTAGTTTGTCCCAGCCGCCGTAGACGTGCTCGGCTGTGTAGTCGGCCAATGTGCGAAGGGTGTTGCGGTCGCCGCGGATGCGTTGCAGGTCAAAGGTTCCGAAGCGGATCCAGCTTTGTGCGAAGCGTGTGACGATGGCTCCGGGCTCGACGCGCTCCCGCATAATCTTGCTGCCGCGGTTCAGGGTAAGCGACAGTGCTCTGGTGCTGGGTATACCGATGGCGTTCAGATACTCCGACACCACGAACTCTCTGATCGAAGAGCGCAGCACCGCCCGCCCATCTGCGAAGCGCGAGTAGGGCGTTCGTCCCGCGCCTTTGAGTTGAATCTCATACCGTGTGTCCGTCGACGGATTCGTAGACTCGAAGAGCGAGATAGCGCGACCATCGCCGAGCTGGCCAGCCCATTGCCCGAACTGGTAGCCGCCGTAGCATTGGGCCCATGGGTAGATGCCCTGCTCTGGCGTCGATTCGTTCCAGGTCAATATCTTCTTCCCTGCCACCACTTCTTTGAACTCATCGGTCTTGGCCTCCTCCTCGCTCAGGCCGATGTCTTGTAGTGCGCGCTGGCTGACGGCGAGTAGTTCGGGCTCGCCTTGTGCATCCGGTCGGACGTATGTGTACAGGGCTCCTTTGACCATGCGAGGGCCCAGCATCTGACGTGGCGCATCGTGCGAGTCTTTTGGTGTAGGAAAGGCGGCGTCGGTGGGGAGGTTCGCGGTGAAGACGCTGGACTTGGGGAGGGACCGAAGGGTGTGTCGCACGCTCGAAGAGGCATTGGAGGTTTGGGGAGTGTCAAGATGTGCCATGACTTGGTTCAGGCGCATCGAAGAACTATGGGCTCTGTAGCGCGCAGACTGCTTAGTTAGAGAGATGCCTTTTGCTGTAGGTCGCAACGTCGAGGAAAGACGGAGCATGGGCTGCTAAGGGGGTATAAAGGAATGGGTAAGCACGAGGAAGGCAGAAAGATGGGATGGAGCCGGCGGCGAATACTCGTACATTCTGCTGCCGATCAGTGGGTGATGTGAATGCGATGGAGCGGTGGCGTCATGCCTCGGAAGTGTTATCGATAAGATACCGGTAGGTACGTTACATGAAAACATTCTGGTACGCGTACCTGACTCGCGCAACCGCGAACTTTGGAACCATCACTATCCTCCATGAGCCACCAACAACACCACCATCGTTAGCACTGGCCCATCCCTCGTTCAATTTCTCATAAAACGGTGAAAGTTTCCATACTCATCTACCCGACACTTTCCAACCCGGACATATACCCCATACACGCACAAACTTCGTCTATCACACCCAACATGAATGGCCAGGCGCTTCCAGGTTTCTACTGGGACTCGGAAAAGAAGAAATATTTCAAAATCCAGAGTCAGAATGCAGCAAGGGGCCTGGATCTTAAGTACTCGCTGGACAACATTCGGAAAGAGGAGCGGAAAGAGCGTATCCAGAACGCGACAAACGCCCGTTCGAATCAGATTCGGAAGGAGCGAGTTGTGAGACGCAACCAGAACAGCTTCGCGTATAGCCACGTGGAAAGAGAGATTGGGACCAGGAGACAATCGTATTACCTCCAGAATACATGGCCGGACGCTTGCACCTCAGGCATCAGCAGCAGACCAGCAGACGTTATTAGTAGAAGACCGAGTCATGCTCCCATACGCTTGTTTGATCGAGATCCAATATCCAAAACGGTGTATATAGTACAGGGGTCTAACAGCGTCGGTAAGCAGCGACTGCGTGCCGACGAAGAGACGCTGCAGGATGAACCTGACCTGAACGAATACACCGATCCGCGGCTGTGGAACGCCTGGGACCTGCGCCCATGGGATGAAGTCTATCGGACTACCTCGACCACATCATCCCTATGCTACATGCCAGCGACTGGAGCGCTTGCAGCCACTTCATACGGCTCAGATCGGCCCCCTGAGATATGGCTTACAGACCCGGGGCGCGACGACTCGGTAGGTTAGCAAGGCCTTTCAACATGCCTCGTATCTGATCATGACTATGTACTGACTTCTCCGTGTCCATAGTACGTAGGCGAGAGGTATACGCCTAAAGGTTGTTCAACGATATGGGCCGCTGCAGCCAGACCTACTACATTCTCACCATCACCCGGCCTCGCCAACAGTGTAGCAGCTTCGTACGCAGAGCATCTTGCCATTGCAGCCTCGAGCGCGATGCTGCTATTTACTCGTTCGGAAGCAGGCGCCTGGAACTCCAAAATCGTCGTTAAGGCAAGTTGACGAAATGTACCGCCCCGTCTATGACAAACTTGCTAACTTGTTATAGGTACGTTCACTTTGTTCGGCTTTTCAGGCTATGCTTGCAATGCGATTTACCATTCGCATAGTATTCCATTCAGATCTCTATGGCCTACCGCCCACTCAAGGCTTGATAGCATATACTTACTTTTCACGTGCTCATTTCATAGTCTCTCACTTCGGACGTTCTCGCACTAGAATGGATATCATACACGACCATTGCGCTCGGCTGCCGCGACGGCACCATCCGTCTCTACGATACACGATCAGGAGGTTCGAGCCACGTCCTCTCGCACCCATACCCCATCTCGAAACTCAAGCGCGCCGACGACGAAACGAGGTTAATATGTTCTGGTCTCCAGGACACACTCTTCTTATACGACATCCGCTCTCCACGTCTATCGCGAAACTCTCCACGCAGAACCTTCAACTACGATAACCACCATTACAACGAATCCTACTTCAAAACGCTCTACCCTGGCAACCGCGACCATTCTAAGAGACGAAAGCTGAATTACCAAGCTTTTATGAGTTGGTCGCAACCGGTGCTCAGCTTTGCACACGCGAATCGGGATGAGCTCGATCTGGATATCGATGTGCATGCACGGCTGGGGCTCGTGGCCGCAGGTCAGGACTTGTCCACGGGCACAGCAATCCGTGTGAGCAACATCTGGACCGGAAAAACGGTCAAGGAATTTCGAAACCAGAGCGAGAAGAAGGACGTTTGGGAGAAGATTCGGTCTTTGAAGTTTGTTGAGCGGGACGAGGGTGTTGGAGGTGTCGAGCTATGGTCGTGCTGGAATGGGGGGATTGCCAAGTTTTGTTGCTGAGAGTACTCTTGTTTTCTCGAAGCTAGAGGGAAAAATTATTAGGACTATGCGGCGAAGAGAATATAAAAAAAGTTACAGCCCAAAGCGAGATTCGAACTCGCGATCTTCGCATATCGCATTGGTGGGTTACGAGTGCGACGCCTTACCACTTGGCCATTCGGGCAATGTTCTTGGTGATATAACGAAAAGTCAAAAACTTTCCCCTCTATATGTCTAAGATTTCTAACCAGACACACCAGCAAAACGCTCACTTCTTAAAAGCCCACCTGCTGGTTTCTAACTTTTTCATCATAAAAATAGCAAACAACACCGCCATCACCCCATCTCTCTTTCTCTTGCAATTGTCGCTTTATCCACGTTGCTGATCAAAGCATCCTTCCACTCCTCATCTTTCAATATACTCCGTACTCTAGCTTCTAGCCACTCCGTATTCCCCCAGAAACCCCAACTAGCCTGGAACCGCAGCCAGTCCACGAGTGCCGTTTCCCAGTGTCGTACAAAAATAGGCCAGTTATACTCTTGTTTGCCAACCTCTCTCAGTCGCTGCCAGTACTGCTTCAGTAGCACCTCTTCGCCATGCTGCATCTTGAGTTCGCGCGGGACGGGGTGGGTGTTGTTAGTGAGCATACCCAGCGGCACAGAACAAGTGAAGAATTTGGCCAAATCGCAGACACCGAGACCGAGACCCGTGTACTGGAAATCGTAGAAGGCTACCTCGTCGCCAGAAGTGCTAGTAAACAGGTTCTCGGATTTGACATCGCCGTGGATGAGCGTTTGGTAGCTGGCGATGGGCGTCCAGACCGATAATTTCGGCGCGAGGAACGCGGCTGCGATTTCTGAGATGGAAACGTCTTCGCCGTCGACCCAATCAGTGAGCGGTTCGTTCCATTCGGCGTCGTAGTCTGAAGCCAGCGTGCTGTATTCGCTGCGGCGCGTAGCGAGGTATGTGTAGCCGCCGTTGAGCCAGACAGATTTGTTGACGGCGTCTTGGCCGTCGCGGTGCACTTCTTGGAGCGGGGGAAGTACGAGTGAGGAAGAGTTTATGGTTTTGGCGCGCGGCCACCAGAAGCCGTGGAAGGTGGATAGCCAGTCCAGGGCGGCGAGGACTTGGTTTGGTCTTAGCTCCGACCGTTTCTCGCCTGCGATGGGGTATTGGTGGCGGAGGTCACTTAGTAGCATCGCGGTTATTGAGGTTCCGTCCGCGTGGTGCGAATTGATGCTGGCCAGGCATTCGGCGACTGGGATGGAGGATGGCATCTGCGGAGCGAGGTGGCTGTAGAAGTACTGCTCTACTTGGTAGCTCAATATCTTCCTCGTGTGGCCTTCATCGTCGACTCGCGTCGGTGGCGGGGTTACTAGCTTGAGGATGTAGGATTGTGGTAATTCAGCTGCGGACCATGAGGTGGATGCGCTGTCTGGTGTGGCGGTGATGCGACATATTTCTCCGTAACCTGCCCAGAGGGATTGGATGCGCTGAATTGTCTGTAGTTGTAGCTCTTTCTCTGCGAGGAGTTCCGACGCAACTTCGTTGGGAGAAGACCATGGGATAGGCATGTGAATCGTTGTTTTTTGCAAGTGAGTGTACGTGAGACGAGATGCTAAGATCGAGATACACAGAACGAGTAGATAGTTGAGAAGTGGACGCAATCGTGGAACCATCCGAGCAAGGCAGTCGCTTCGAATTTGGCTTCACTGAGGTGGTGGCTCATGTATGAACCCTAACCTGAAAGCGCTATGAAAAATCATATACTCACGAGCGGCCTGGTTTGAGATTTACCATGATTGAGAGTTGCCCGTGAGCCACGCCGCGCTAGAACTAACTTATAACGTTACCGGTAACTAGTTAGTTAGTTAACGTGTTCCACCACTCATCCGCCACCCCCACCAAACTTGACGCGACTCTCTACACAGCAACGACCATGACACCACCACGACGTCCTCTATCGC